ACTGATTTGTTGCTTATTTAAAGTTAAGAAAGTATTAATAATGCAATTAAACTTAAAAATGTGTGCATGTATTTTTCCTCCCAGAGAACCTAATTGTTAAACATTTAGCAGCACACCCGTTTTGCTCTTTAAACATTGCGTAAGCTCATCAGGAGGGTAATAGGGAATGAAGTTATCACTAAACTGGAGGCCTCGTAACTGTAGGTTATTATTATTATAATTAGTAGTAGTGTAGTAGTAGTACTACTACTACTACTACTACTGCTACTACTAGTATTATTACTAATTACTAATACTAGTAATATTGGTAGTAACAGTACTATTAATAGTAATGCTACTACTAATGATAACTGGCATTTATATAGGGCTTTAAGGTTTGTAAAGTGCTTTATATTTATTATGTCATTTGAACCTCACGACACCCCTACCTTTGTCCCAGACTGTGGTACCTCCAGAGCCCACCCTTTTGGGGAAGCTAGTGCCTTTGAAGACTCTTTCTTCTTATAGTGGGCTTATTAAAATGTGATTTAAAGAAAGGGACCTGAAACTCATTTACACCACATTTGAAATGGTTTTCTTAATAAGTTTAGAGAGTTACATGGGATTATAGGATTTTGAGCCAGAAAGAAAATATAGAGGCTATCTGGACCACTCCCATCATTTTACAGAAGAGGAAACTGAGTCCCAGAGGTTAAGGAAGTTGCCCAAGGTTGGACAGGGGCCAGAATCAAGATTCAAGCCCAGAACTGACTATGAATCTCCTGATAACAGGATTTGCCTTTTAACAGGAATCAAAGTCTTAAAACCCACTTCTCTCAGAGTAGAATTTCAGGCATCAGCTAATGTACTATAGAGAAATAAGCTCTGAATCAGTGAGTTTGTTCAGTTCACCTATGTCTAACATCCACTGGTCTGCAAATAGCAAACATCTCAGGACTCGGGTGAGGGGAGAGGGAGCAAAGGTAATGGTGATGCAGAGAACAGTCCACTAAATCCTATTGATAAGTGCTGCTTTGATTGACATTCATGGAGGGATGTCCCAAGCTTGGGAAAAACCCAAGTAATTCATAAGATCTGTGATCTCCTTGAAGTCGGTGTTCCCTCCAATCATTTAGCCCATTTATGCTTGCCCCTCTTGTGCGACTCACTTGTGTTTCCTCTAAGTTCTTCACAGGGTCCAATGGTGGCCTTCCCTATTTTCTCTTGACATTTTTGTCATTTGAATATGGGACTATTGTAAGAATTCTCATTTAGTTCTCACTATCGAGTACAAATAAGCCAGCACAGGAGACAGACAGAGAAAACCAGCAGTTTATTCATGTAGAATGTGATGTGCTTCATCAGCAGAAAATGGATGCATGTGCATCACCATTCAACTAGAGATACTTTGACCAGTCTGTCATCCACATGATAGATATATGAGGCAGAGAGGGGTGAGTAGGTAAGAGCTGATGTATCACATAACAAAAGTGGATGCTTGCCAAGGAGTCTGCCATTGTTCAATAACCAGTCCTGTTAGATCAAAGGAAGCAATACTTCCTCTATCAGATGAGATAAAGAGTAAGAGTCACTTTTCTGGGGCTATCAGACTTCGAAGGAGATGGCTTTCTTGAAGTTGTCCCTGGAGCACTTGTCAGGGCATCACATAGCAAAAAATGCCCAATACAGGACAAAACAGACTTAAGATGCCAACTCTTGCATATCACTTTTAGTTTCCCAAATTTCTCTTTTAAGAAGTTAGACTTGGAAATGTCCAGCCAATGAAAACAAAAAGGCAAGTCCTGGACCACGCACATGTTTCAGTGCAGATGTGATTTCAGTTTTATTATTTTCTTTTTAGTAAAGATGCTGGCTTACCATAATCCTTCACCATCTTTCACCTATAAAATCAGTAGCTCTCACAAATGTATCACCACATATAGCAGAAATGAATAGACTTGAGGGAACAGCATAGCATTTGGGAATCCAACAGATGAGTGTAGGAATCAGAGCTACATTCTTAGTTACATTATTAGGAAGAGTACTGGGCCTAGAGATGAGAAATACCTAAGTTCAAATCTTACCTCTGACATTTACCAGTTATATAACTACGTGCAAGTCTCTGAAGCCCCAGTTTCCTCATCTGTAAAATGGGGATAATACTTATAATGTAATAAATACAATAAATATAATAAACATAATAAATATAATAAATATAATGTAATATAATGTAATACAATGTAATACAATGCAATACAATACAATACAATACAATACAATACAATACAATACAATACAATAAATAGAATACGATACGATACGATACGATACGATACGATGCGATGCGATGCGATGCGATGCGATGCGATGCGATGCGATGCGATGCGATGCGATGCGATGCGATGCGATACGATACGATACGATACGATACGATACGATACGATACGATACAATACAATATAATATAATATAATATAATATAATATAATATAATATAATATAATAATCACTTTCTCAGTGGTTATTGTAAGGACCAAATGAGATAAGTTACATAAAGTGATTTGCAAACCTTAACTTTCTCAATGTGTCAGCTATTATTACAATGTTTATTAGCAGCTGGACTGTCAAGTACCCACAGAGGATAATTAGATTTACTGTGAAACGTCTTTTTTTATGTGCCCTGCTAAATGTCCCCTGTTCCAAATCATTAATGAAAATGTCAAATGAAACTGGATCTACACTCCACATTGGAAGCCCTTGGTCCCATATTTATGAATAGCATTGTGTCCATTCTGTCCCCAAGCATTTATATTTTAAAAGAGGGTACTTGTTAACCCAAATGAAACTCTAAGGAGTGTAAATTTCAGATACTGCAATAAAGTGAAGAAAATCAAATCGGGAGGGGGGAGGAGATGCTTTAGAATGGAGTGCCTAGCCCCATCTGGGACTCTCATGTGCTACATAAACAAAAGAATAAGTGTACAAACACATGGATGTATAAAGCAATTCTCATGTGCTTATGATGTACCAAGTACTGTTTTAAGTACTGGAGATAGAAATAAAAAAGTGAGATAGCCCTTGTTCTCAAGGAGCTAACACCCTAATTGGGAATTCAGCTATAGTAATGACAAAAAGACCTGGAAATCTTAAGGGTTTATCTGTGGTATAGAAGTAAAGGTCCAAGGGGCTTTGGAAAGTATCAGTAAGTTACAAGGTGGTGCCCGGGGGACTAAACAAAGCTCTAAAGTAGATAGTAAGGCCCAGAGGACTTTAGGATGTAGTATCAAAGCAGATGGCAAGGGAGAGTGGTCCTTCATCTCACTAGAAAGATCACAGTTGGTGATTGTTCTCTCATCCAAACAGTGTGAAATCCAGATCCTCTCTAAGGTGCAGGGGGCTTTAAGGTCCCCCCCCCCATTCCTTCCTTGAGAAAGTGGGAGTGGGCTTGAATGTGGAATGTGGATTCAGGGCTCTCTCCTGTAGGGATGAGTATGATTAAAGTGGGAGGTGGGGTGGGCTGGGGGAAGGAGTTAGTATCCAGACAGAGAAGGAAGGGGAAAGGGAAATTGGCAGATAATTTGGGGGAGAAGGGCACCCCATAGTACTTGGTTATAGCACACACAGATATATTCTGAGTGGCCTGGGGCAGGGGAGGGGAAGAATGGAGGAAAGGGTCCTAGTGATCTTTGCTTTTTTCATAGTTCCTTATTTTTTCCCATTTTCTAAGCCCTCTACATATGTAAAAGCTCTAAGGTTGTTCTCCCCCCTTCCCCCCCCCCAACGAAGAAGATTCTCTCTTGGTAATACCAGAAGATGAAGTATAGAATATTAATTCATTTAAAAGTAGATGTCTCACATTCATTGTCTGTACACTTTTTATTTTTTACTAGATAGAGGTTGCATAGTTTTCATGCTTTAGACAATTTTTGAATCATTTGCCCATTCTCACACTTACCCTTGTGATTTAATATTTTATAATAAAACTTAAACCAAGTGCAATGTTACATGTTGTTGTTTTCAACATATATTAAGTTTGTTGCACTCTCTTATTCAGTAGCCCTTCTGTAATATGAAAAATGATAGTCAAATTCTAAATTTATCTTGAAAGCTGTTTAGGATTCAGGAGGCTTTTGAAAAGTGTTAAAATAAGCACAATCACTTATTTTCCATATAAATTCTTTGCCCATGAAAATATCTCTGAATCAGGACTTCTTAACCTGGGTTTAAAAAAATTGATGATTAAATTTCAATTTAATTGCTTTCCTTTGTGATCTTATTATTATTTTTTTTAAATTTTGTTTTATGGACTTAAAAACATCACTCTGAGAAGGAGGTCCATAGGCTTCACCAGACTGTCAGAGGATCCCATGACACAAAACAGGCTAAGAATCCTGTTCTGAACTCATCCGTTAGGAAAACTACCAGCAAAGAATAAAGGTTTTGGCTCCTTTGTTACAAAATATCCCAATGAGATAACAATCTATGAAATTGATAGAAAAAAGAGTTTGCAACCAAAATGCTTTCTCAGCCCCTGTGGGAGAGCAAGGGGCACTTTTACTAAAACCTGGAATTAATCAAGATAGCATAATTATTTTCTCTGAAAAATTGCTGGGGTTAAAAAATTTCTGGGCTTAGCTTATGAAAGCCCTTCCTGTGTTATGATAAGGACAACTGAAGAACACTTCTTTGTGTCTCAAAGTAGGAAGCCAAGGAGGGGATGCTTTGTGGGCTCTAGTAGTGGTTAAGTGGTTCTTAGAAGAGAATACTGGAAATTAGACAATGTGCTGATGTCATATTTAAATCATAATTTGAAAAAATTGAGACCCTGGGATCTATAAAAGTAGCACCTTCCAATGCTCACATTACAACGAAACTCATCCGAACTGTGAGTCTTCTAATATACTTAGCTTTGTTGAAGTTTTAAAACTTATTATAGTTCACCTCCTGTTGTTAATGTTTCTGTATTTCTCCCTTTAACAATAGATTCTCCAACCTGAGATTGCCCAACACTAGAGACCCAAATGACTGTAAAGGAGACTCGGAAGGATTTGGAGAGCTTCTTTCACATGGCGACCTGGGCTCTGTGGTTCCTTGTCATGATCCTGTTGGCTCAGGGAGCAGAAGGAGCTTCTGTCAAATCTGCGTGCAAACTTGGAAAGTCTACCTTTCGGCAGCATTCCATTAGCCACCGAATCATGTCGCTGGCCCAACAGGTAAGAAAAATATTCTCTCCCTCTCTTTTACTGACTAAACAAGAAATGCTTTCTTTTATCCGATCCTCCAGGAACTGTACAGTTGGAGATAAAATTGGTTCATAATGTTAGATTCAGTAAAATTCAAAGCATTTAAAAAAATTCCTTTTTAAAAAAATTGCTCCCCATAATAGAAAATTAGGGCAAATATTGAGGAATTCCAAATCAGTGTTATTGATTCTTTTGATCTCTAAAAAAAAAGCTTACTAAGCACTTACTGTGCTTTAAGGCTTTATAATCACAAAGAAGGGCAAAACAAACAAAAACAACTAACAACAATGCCATAGGCCTTGCCCTAAAGGAGAGTATATTCTATTGGTAGAGACAACATGTTACTGATTAGGTGTATATAAGATATTTACAGAGTAGATGGAAAAGTAATCTGAAAGTGGAGATACGGAAGGAAAAAGGACCAGGAATGACTTCTTGAATAGGGTCAGCTTGGTACCTTGAAGGAATACAGGTAAGTTAAGACGTGGAGGTGAAGGATTAGAATATTCCAGATATAGGTACAGCTAGCGTACAAAGTATGGAAGATGAGAGTATTGTGCCAGAGGCACTTCAAGTGGGTCAGTGAGCTGGGTCATAGATAGAATGCACGGAGCAGTCAAATGTAAGAAGATTGGAAAAAGAAGAAGGAGCCGAGTTTTATATGCCAAACAGAGGGGCGTATTTTGTTCAGCTAGAAAACCTGCTATACTGGCCTTTGGAATATTTCACTGAGAGCTACCTCCAAAGGAACCATTTGGTTCACTGACTTCATTCTCTCCCTCATTCCTTAATATTCCCCTGCCTCTCCTCCATTTTCAATATATAATCTATACCTGGATTGTCCATTTATTTTACTTTCTTTGCTTCATTCTCTTCCTATATTACAAGTCTCCACATTGCTCTTCTTCCCTTCCAGGGCAGTTTGTTCGATAATGAAACCAGCACTCGACTCCTCGAGAGTTCCATGTTCAGTGATGTGGAAGTAAGTAATGGCCATACTCTACATGACAAGACTATGTCCTTGTGTACTGAGAGTAACAGTCAATGCTTGTTTTGTGAAAAAAAAAAGAATGTAAGCCCTTTGAGGGTGTAAATGGTCTTTCTTTTTTGTTTGTATCCCTAGTGCTTAGCACAGTGTCTGGCATGAGATAAGCACTCAGCAAATGCTAGCTGACTTGACTTTAGGTGGAGAGATGCTCTGTGTTTATGATTTACTCTAACTGGGATAAATTTTGTCTTGCAGGCCACAAATCATTGTTATATGATGAAGGAGGTTCTGAACCTGGTCTTGAAGGAAGTGTTGCCTCCTTACCAGCAAAAATTCCAGTCAGACATGCAAGACGTGTTGTCCTTCCTGCATGATCTGAAAAGCAAGCTGAGCGGCTGTGTGAGTATTCTCTTCTACTCGCTTAAAGACAACCTTCCTTTAATTACTCCTAGCTATCACCTCCATTCAGAGTTATTTCCAGCATACTTACTTGTAGACTGCCATGGTAGGAGAGTCAGATTTCTTCTGCTAATTACCTTAGGGAAGAACTAGGAGCCAGAGGAGGAGGTTCTGTAGAGAATGGTTTTTCATTGATAGAAATTTCTAATCAGGAACTGTCCAAAAGTGGAATAGTCTACTCTGGGAGGTAGGAGGTTCTTCAAAGAGAGGCTGGATGGTCATTTGGCAGGGATAGAGAGATTCTTGTTGTAGGGTACAAGTTGCACTCAACGACCTTTGAGTTCCCTTTACACTCTGAGGATCTGTGAAATTTCGAGTCCTTTGAAGTAAGGGAATGTGTATGACTATTTGTTTGATTTGCTTTACTTAAATCTTGACCTTCAAGAATAAACAGAAGATGATCACTCTTTTTGAATTCACTTGTGCCTGGCAAAAATGCAATTTAGGGGTGATGTGCTGAGGAATGGAGCTCTGAGATTGCTCTGCACAGCTTAAAGTATATATTAATGAGAAATCAAGAGTGATGAAAAGTGAGAAAATGAGAAATAAAATATGTTAATTGAGAAATCTGAGAGCTAGAAAGTCAAGGAGAGGAGAGGAAAGAATGGGAAGAAAGGTTAGAGAGCAGAATGTCAAGTTTTCATAATAGACTTAGGGGATCATAGATTTTGAAATGGAAAGAACCTCATAGATCATCTAGTCCAAGCCCTCTCATTTGACAGATGAGGAAACTGAGGTCCAGACAGGTGAAAGAATTTGTTCAAGGTCATAGGGTGCTAAGACAATGGGTGTATGTCAAAGGACATTCATAAGTGCCTTGTGGTGTTAAAGGAAGGGACCAAATTAAAAATACATTAACCTTATTCCCTTGGAAGTTTAAAACTATGACAATCTTCTTGGCACATGTTCACGAGTCATTTAGCTACTGATTGACTGTGAGGTGCTGGACAAAATACAAGAATAATATGGCATAAACTTTGTTAAATTCAGAATGTGGAGTAAATCATTTCACCCTCTCCACATGGCTAATCAATCTCATGTAGGTGAAGTGACCAGATTCGTGTGGCCCCAGGGCAAAAACAGCTTGGAAATTCTAAGTCACCAATTAAAAAAATGACCAATGGGATTCTTTTCAGGTCTTTAATCAAAGGAAGCCTCAAGCTCATGTTCAGACTAAGGGATACAAAATTTAAGAAACACCATAGTGAAACTGACATTATGTTTCACATTGTATTTTCCTTTTGTAGACTTTGAAGGGTGATGGCAGTCCTGTCCAGAGAAAAATTAATGATGTGAAGAGCAAACTAAAACAGGTATTAATTACCTATATTTTTATCTATCACAATATTAAAGAGCTTAATAGGAAGGAGAAAAATGCCCTTTCCTTCATTTGGTAACACCTATTTGTTCTAAATCTGGGGGTCAAAATATTATCAAAAGAAACCTGGGAATGTCCAGTTCATTTAAGGGTTTATTGAATGAATATTGGTTTGTGTGAATAGATATGTCTATATCTTTTTGTTTATACATAGGGTGACCCCAAAAGTCTTATTTCCTAAAGCTCTTACAGCTTAAAACTGCACTAAGGCTTTTGGGACACCATATGTGTGTGTGTACCAATATACATATATGTATGTGTATGTGTGTGTGTGTGTGTGTGTGTGTGTGTCTGTGTGTGTGTATGTATATATACATATATATATATATATATATATATATAATCTGATAAATCATAGATTGTAAGAGCTGGAAAGGACTTTAGAAATGACCTAGTCCAACCCTTTCCTTTTACAAATGAGGAAATAGAGGCCCATACTCATTATTTTCCTTGACTAAGCTCATATGGTAAATTAGTATCAGGACAAAGACTTAAATCTTACATCTGGCTCTCAATCTAAAGTGCACCTACCATTTCCAAAAAACTTGCACTCTTTTTTTTAATATAAATTTATTTATTTTTAGTTTTCAACATTCACTTCCACAAGTTTTTGAGTTCTGAATTTTCCCCCCATCTCCCCCCTCCCCCCACCCCAAGATGGCATGCATTCTGAATAGCCCTTCCCCTAGTCTGTCCTCTCTTCTATCTCTCTCCCTTTCTCTTATCCCCTTCCCCTTCTATTTTCCTGTAGGGCAGGATAGACTTCTGTACACCATTTCCTGTATTTCTTATTTCCCAGTAGCATGTGAAAACACAAAAAACTTGCACTCTTGCCCCCTCAATTTAGCCAGAAGAGAGCTAGGAGGCCATTAACTCCAACCCCATCATTTTGCAGATGAGGAAAGTGAGGCTCAGGGCTTTTAAGAGGCTTGTTCAAAGTCAAAGAGGTGGAATTTTAAACCATGTTCATTGACTTTTTCCATTATGCTACCCTACTGAGAACTAGGAACCCATCTATACTTTTAGGATTTGGAACATGTACATTTCTGTGCCAGGCAATCTTTAATCTTATCATCATTAACTCACTTAAAAATGAGTGATGGAGATGAATGTCAATTTCATTTAAAATTTTTCCAATTTTAGAGTTATATTTGCTCAATAAGATTTTTTTCCAAAAAAAAAGCTCAGGAAACAAATCCATTTATTGAATTGAGTTCTGACACTGTTTACCTAAAAGATTAAAAATATGGAGAAATAAGTGAGGGATGGAGGAAAAGCCAGAATCTTACTGCAAGATCCATGTTATAGGAAACATTCTTGAGTTTTCAGGTCCAGCTTACCCTAACACAACAACCAACAACTTTTGTTTTTTTATTTAAGACAAATGGTCAACGTGCCCTAATCTTTAGCAGCTGCCTATAAATATAGCAGAAGGTCAGACCTCCTTTTTGTTGTGGGATGATTTATGAGAGGAAGAAAGAAGTCAGACCTGAGAGTCAGTCCATGTGTACAGAATTCTGAAGGCCTTCATTTCTACATGCCTTAACTCTACTGATTAGGGGAAGACCCCCAAATAGCAACTGGTGCTCAACTAGAATGAAGGGGAATGGGTATGAGCTGTGAAGAGAATGCTGTTGTTAAGGGATAGGTACAGTGAAATGAGGTGAAGTTGGAAATATGGGAAGTAAGTTGGCTAGTTATAACTCCAGTTTCAGGTTTACGCAGGTATACCTTAAAATTTTTTTTAAATTTCAAACCCAGTTATGGCAACTCTTCCTAAAACATATTAATCTACTTTAATGCCATAGTAAGTATGATGTGGCAAACTTAGCTGATTTGTATTTGATGACTGAGAATTTAGTGATATTTCATAACAATGATAAATTATGATCATTTGGAGTTTAGACTGTGTATTTAGGAGGTATCAGAAGTTGAGCTGATGCCTGATCTGTGGAAATCAGGTTTTTGAATAAAATTACTGGATAAAATTACAGAATTTTGGATAAAATTATTTGGATAAAACAAACTTATTTTTATCATTATATGCTTTCCACTAACAGTGGAATATGAGAGAAAAAGCTGGCTAATTTTACTTCATTACTTCATTAATATAGCTGGAGACTTGAAATGATCTTCTGAAGCCATTAGCTAAAATAATCCAATGACTATTAATGATGTTTTGAGAATGCTCTCTGGGAGAATGATAAAGTGAGTAGAGATTAAGACCAAAAAGGAATTTGAACTTTCAGTTAGTGGAAAGAATATTAAGAATTATAGTATATTTCAGGAGATAAATAATCCATTTCTACATATCACTTTAAGGGTTATAAGTCATATTCCTTGAACAACCCTGTGAAATAGATTTTTTAAAAAAATCTGGACTGTGAGATAACAGCTAAGGGAATTTATTAAGCACCTACTATGTGCCAGGCACTATGTTGGTACCTAAGTGGTTCTGCAGAGTCCCTTTGGCTCTAATAGCTGCAGTCCATGGCTTTTGGTAACATTCCTGGTGTTTGACAATAATCTATATCTGGCCACTGGACCCAGATGGCTCCAGAGTAGAGAGTGAGGCTGGTGACTTTGCACAGCCCTCCCTCACTTAAATCCGATTCACTTGCATGGCATGGCATCACCTCCCTGACGTCATGGTCCTCTTCAAGAGCAAAAGACAAACAACAGCAGCCACCCAACTGCAGTTTCTTCCCTTATTCAAAGAATATTACTATGGACCCATTTTAAAAGGACCGGAAATTGTAAGCTCTTTAAAAGACTGAATTGATTTACTACAATAGAGCTGTTTCTTTCCAGTGATCTAATTATCCCATCTCTTTTTCTAAATTTGATCCTGTTGGTATAAGTCCTAAGATGGTCTTGTTTCTTATTTTTCCAGTTGGGAAAGAATGGAGAGATAAAAGCAATTAGTGAGCTGGATCTACTGTTCAGGTTCCTGGGAAGACACTGTGCTTAAAGCTCTCGACAAAATAAGAAGAATAAAAAAAAAGTAATCCAAAGGTTTGGAAGATCAGATGGAAAGCTAGAATGGGTTATTTCCTCCTTCAAAAAGGCAATTGGGATTTCAGAACTCTAGCATAAATGTGTCCATTCAATATGTACCCCTGATTGACCGACTTCAGAAGGAAAAAACTCAAGTATAGTGTTAATAAGTACATTCTATTTCTGAGCCCCAAAAGTGAGCTTCTGAAACCTTGCTGGGGCTATATAGCTGAAATGTTAGTCTGGCAAGGTGTTTTATACAAAAAGTATAATTTATTTATTTTTTTAAAATGACCTTTATACATATTTAGTGAATACTTCCCAATCCTTTAGGGGGAAAATTCTTCTTAATGTTGACTATATTTATTAATGATATGATTACATGTTTTATTTATAAAGATTTCAATGATATGGTTTTATTTATTGAAAACATTAAATGTTGTGAACTGACTGAAATTAGTTCATCTATGATACCTATGTAATCATATGGCTATAATATATTTATTTGATGCTAATAAATACATTGATTTTACCAATTTGGCTGCTTTCTGATTACTTTTGGCATGAAATTATTATACTCTGTGTCAATGTCATTTCTGTTGTTAATTTTTTCCTGAAAAATTTATTCAATTTTTACTAGTCACATAAACGTCTCACAAAATTGGTACATTTCAAATAAAGTTATAACCATTCTGAATATCAATTTGGAATTTTTCAAGGAAAGTAATTAATTTTACATATTTTTGACCCAGTGATTCTCCTAAGGAGTGTAAACACATATATATTTATACATACATGTATATATGTACATATGTATATACATCTGTGAACCTATGTGTATATCTATCTACATATTTATGGGGTAGCTGGTGGTACAATAGAGCACCTGAATTCAAATCTGGCCTCAAGTACTTACTAGCTGTGTGACCCTGGGCAAGTCACTTCACCCTATTTGCCTCAGTTTCCTTATCTGTAAAATGAACTGGAGAAGGAAATGGTAAACCACACTAGTATCTTTGCCAAGAAAACCCCAAATCAGATCACAAAGAGTCAGACAAGACAAAAATGACTAAACAACAGCTATACACACACACACACACACATACCCCAGGGAAGTCAGAGACAAACAAAAATTACATACAGGCCAAAATGTTAATTAAAATACTCTGTGGTAGGAAAGAACTGGAAACAAATTGACTGAAGAATGCTAAAAAAAACCCTCAAAAAACCAAAACCTTAAACTTTATGGCATATGAGTAGAATGGAATATTATTGTACAGTAGGAAATGATCAATAGGAAGAAATCAGGGAAATATGAGATTAGTATGTACTGATATTGTTGTTTGTCCTTCATTTTGAAGAGGACCAGTGACATCATGCAGTGAGGTCTGGACTTGCTTGTAAATTGGATTTAAGTGAGGTAGAGTTGCACTAAGTCAGCCTTCGCTCTGTCTTCCGGTCATCAAAGTCCAGTGCAGGACAAAAGTCAAGATGACTGGCAATGGTCCAGGGTGCAGTGGATGACCCTTGGTGTTTTCATCACCTGACCAGGCTGTAAGGGCTCCACGGTGCCTTCGGCAACTGCTTTCACGGTTTCAAGTGTTCTCATCCACACATTCCACGGGGGTGGGGGGAAAGTCTTCACACGTTTGGGGTAGATACCCCTGTAACTCAACCACAGGTTTGAGGCCCATCAGTTACCCTCAACCTGATTTAGCCTTTCTGCTGAGATGGCTTACTGGGGTGTGGCCACTGGGCACACAATTGAGCCACAGGTGAAAGTTGGGTGAAGGTGGACAGCAAAGGTGGATGAGCAGCCCTGAAAAGGGCATGCCAAAGGTGCTAGTCCTCTCTGAGCACCCCATACACCCCTCGGACTGATATAGAGCAAAACTGGCAGAGTCAGGATAATAGACCTTACCACAGTGATGTAAATGAAAAGATCATTAAAACAAAGTCAGACTGTGAGTAAGGAAAAAAAACAAACCAACAATGGTTTCGTAGAACAGATATTAAACTTATTTCCTCCTTTTTTTGTGGCAGACACCTACAGGGTCTCTAGGACAAAAACATCGTCAGACATGGATTTTCTCTCAAATGATTTTCCCCTTAATTGTTTCTCTTTTAAGGAAGGTAAGTGAAGCAGTGGTTAGGGAACAAATATTCATTAAGTGCCTACTATGTGCCAGGCATTGTACTAAGTGCTTTACAAATGTTATCTCACTTGATGGAGTACTGGATTTGGAGTCAGGAATACCTGAGTCCAAATTCTGCCTTGTGTGTTTACTAGCTATATGATCCTGGGCAAGTCACTCCATGTTCTCATATAGGAAATGGAGATAATTATTGCGCCTACGTTGAAGGGTTGTTTGTGAGGATCAGACAAGATAATATATTTAAAGCAAAATTTAGAGCACAATTTAAAGCTAGCTATTCTTATTATTTGTCACAAGGGAGGGTTAAATTGAGGTTAGGCACAAGGGTGGCAGTTAAAATGATTGTGAAGTAAATACCAAAGGCATCAATAAAAATGTACTTTTAAAAGTGGTGCCACTCACTAGCTGTGTGACCCTGGGCAAGTCACTTAACCTCAATTGCTTTAAAAAAAACCAAACAAGTATACAAAAAAGTGGTGCCATATATACTAAGTGAAATTTTCATGTGAATACTATTAAAATATCAAACACTTATGATTTTATCACATTGCAACCTGTCTAGCCCCATATCATCTTATTCATTCATTCATTCATTTATTTTCAATTCATGGAACAAAACAAGCATTTCATAAGAATAAAACAATAAAAAGATCATTGCACATGAAACTGCATGTAAAACTTGCTGTTTCCTCCAAAAGTGCAACAAAGTTATCATGTAAATTTTTTCCTCTTTTTTCCTTTCCTCTCCCCTCCCCACCTTCACCCTAGAGATGGCTACCATTAGACAAATAGGTATGCACACACACACACACACACACACACACACACGTAAAATTATTCTATGCCTTCGTCTATTTATCAGTTCTTTCTCTGTATGCAGATAGCATCTTTATTCATATGTCCTTCACTTTTAATTTGTGTATTTATAACAGTCAAAATGACTTAGTCACCCAAAGCCATTCTTAAAACAATATTGCTGTTACTCTATACAATGTTCTCTTGGCTGTGCTCACTTCAGTCTTTCAGCTCCTACTTGCTATCTGAGAACACAATCCAGAGAGTGTGGTATGTTCCCTGGCACTTCCCTTTTAATCCATTTCTAGGAGTTGGGTATCTCTCTTTCGGGGAAAAAATGGTTCAGAGGGTGGATATTTAAGTAAAGGGGTGTGGAGTCCATGAACTTGTTAAAAAATATCTTTTTTTGAGGGGCAGCTAGGTGGCACAGTGGATAGAGCTCTGGCCTTGGAGTCAGGAGGACCTGATTTCAAATCTGGCTTTGGACACTTGACACTTTCTAGCTGTGTGACCCTGGGGCAAGTCACTTAACCCCGATTGCCTAACCAAAATAGAAAAAAAATGTTTTTTTTGATAACTGTATTCATTAGGCTTGTTTTATAAAATTTTGACAGCAGCATTTCAAGATAATTGGTTTTCTTTGTAATACTATATATTTTAAAAACTCATTCTTTTTTTTTTTGTGTAGGCAGTGGGGTTAAATGACTTGTCCAGGGTCACCCAGCTACATAAGTGTTATGTGTCTGAGGCCACATTTGAACTCAGGTCCTCCTGAATCCAGGGCTGGTGCTCTATCCACTGTACCACCTAGCTCCTCCCAAATTTGTTCATTTTGAAAAGGGTTCCGTAGGCTTCAGCAGACTGCCAAAAAAGGTCAAGAACCCCCAATTTAAGGAGTAAAATTGAATCTTGATACTCAGTTAAAAGTGAGAGGCCATAGGGGAAAATGGGGGTGATGTAGCTCTTGATGACTGGCTGATTGTTTAGCAAATTTAGAAGCAGGGAACTGATGTGTTAAAAGAAAGGCTTATAAACCACCAGAAAGGCAAATGGATACGTATTTATTATAACCCCAGTTTCAAAACAATAAAATAAGTAATAGAGTTTATAGTTTCTTAAATAGCCATATTTAATTAGGAAGAGGACAGAGTATGATATCATTATCCGAAAAGCTTCCATCTTCCCTTTGATTCCACAGGTACCCTGGGAATACTTCTTTCCAGCTATGGTTACTTCTCCCGGTTGCTTCTCCCTTCACCTCCAGCCTCTTTACGCTTGATAATCTCGGTTTCAGCCAAACTACCATCTGATCAAATGCCATGACATTTACTTTGAAGCAAGCATACTGATCTCCCTGCAGAGAATTTAGCTGGGAACAATTATATGCTTCCTGTGGGGACCAGGTGCCCTGTGTATGTACAGATACTTGGTGGTGCTCCACCTAATAAGGATACCTGCGTAATCCTTACATCTCCCTCCTACAGCCCACTTCTCCTACGCATAGGGGAAAAACTGAGCGAACTGGTTCTTAGCATCTTTCCTCCTGTTCTGATAATATGCCTGCAGGTTAACCTCATCCTCCTCTGTCCATTGACCGACAGCATTCTTATGAGTTGGCACTGTTTTTCTTTGAAGTTGTCTTGCGATTATCCAGTTCTTTGAAAACAAACAAACAAAAAACCCAACCCACTTCCATCCTTGACATTTTTGTTGTTCGATTTTGGTGACGGACATTCTTCGTCATGTTGGCTGCCAGACACCTTTACAGATTTTGCATTCTTGTTTAGTCCCATCACACCTTGGAGGTAGGAGGCTCCAAAGTGAATTCAGACAACTTTCAATTTCGAGTCTCTTAGAACACAGTAATGAATGGTGATACCCAGAAGAGTAACTCAGTGAATTGGCTACTATTTTCTCCTGCCTCTGCCATTGATGAAACTGGGGGATGATAGGACAGTTACTCAACCACTCTATTAGGTTTGAGTTTGTGCATTGATAAAATCATCAGCTAACACTTCCCAGC